ATAAAGTATAAAATTTCCATTTGATTAGGTCCTTACAAACATAATATATATATATATATATATATATATATATATATATACTATAAAATTATTTGGTAAAAGTTTCTTACAATTTGAATTTGAAAAAAAATTATATATTAACTCTACATTTGAAGACTTCAGATCATGTGAGATAAGACTGTTTTCATTAGACATGAGGGACACGATTTTTACATTTAAAACTTCACAGCAAAACACTGTGAAGATAAACTTTACAATATTTTTGTTATGGAGATTCGGTTTTTTTTTTTTACCTTCACAACATTTGTTGTAAAGTTTAAGTGTAAAAATCGCGTCTCACGTGAACCCAACCCTCATAAAATTAACTAATACGGTAAAAAATTTATATAATCCAGAACTTTTTATTAACAAAAACTGTATTGAATTTATTTTTAATTTATAATAAAAATTTATGTCAAGCAATATTTTATTTATGAAATATAAATTATTACGAGATGGAATTCTCATACATTGCATTATACACTATGTTATTGGTTGGACGGATTCCATTAATTTTACTTTTAATTATAAATTGATTATCATATCTTATTAAATAATAGTTACTTAAGATATTTTAACTTTAAAAATTATTTATTTTAAAGGTTAAAATATTTATTATATCACTAAAAAAATTCTAAAAATTTATTATACCAATACATTTAAAACAAAATTAACCATAAAGGTGATGTCCGATTGATTTGAGCTTATACTCTAAAGGTAAAAACTGAACCATGAAGGTGGAGGCCCGTTAGTTTGAGATTGGGCTTTAAAGGTCAAAAGTGTCAGGATGTATCAGGTTCGAATTCAAGGATAAATAAAAATTCTATTGTGGTCACGGGAGTTCAAATGCGGTGACTCCGGGCTACCCGTGAAGCGGGTGGTCGTCCTGTGATTAGTCGGCTCGCATAGCGGGTTGGATATTCACGTTAATAAGAAATAAAGGTCAAAATTGTCTGGAGTTCACATGTTCGAATCCCAAGAGAAATAAAAATCCCCTTATGGTCAGAGAGGTTCAAATGCGGTGACTCTAGACTACCCATAAAACGGATAGTGGCTCTGAGATTAGTCGGCTTGCATAGCAGGTTGAATATCCAGGTTAATAAAAAAAATTATATAACAATCAAGGATGGACCTATGTATATCCAAGCGGACCCCCGTGCACCCATTCCTGACTCACCCTCCGTGGACGAACCTTGCGGAGGAACCCTTAGGTTTTCGGGGCATTGGTGAGAGATATATTTTTACAAGTAGAATTTATTTGGGTATGAAAGGTGCATCCGTTAAACTTTGAGGGGTGCTCCGGGGTATTAAAAACTACAAGAAACATCAACCGGGGAAAAAGAGTACCTCAAAAAATCAACCAAAAGCCGAAAAAATCTCTAAAAATCAACTAGAAAAACCAAAATAGTCCCCTTGAAATCGAGCAAAAAAACGTAAAAATCTCATTAAATCAACTAAAAAAATCCTTTGGTTATCGGGTGACTTTTTGGGCCTTTAATTCACCTTAAAGATGCACTTGTTCGACAAAAATTCCGAGTCCACAACCGTATAAAACATCTTACAAATTCATTCAAAAATAAAAAAGAGAACATGAAGAATGATCGACATAATTTGATCGTGTTCTACTGCATATTTCTTATTCTAACTGTACTGCAATTGATACAAATTTAGGCCAAACCATTGGGTTGGACTTGGGGTAGGGTAATTTGAACCCAACTCAACCAGATAAACCAGATGTCTTTTTATATTATGGGTTTAATATAATTGTTAAGTTCTTGATTAATATATGTACATCAGACATTATACTAACCCATAATTAGCTATATTTAAAATTATATTACAATTTCAACCGTAATTTTATTTTTTGTATTTGCACGAACTTTCAACTTCTTTTAAGTTTATCACCCTCTTTTGTATGTTCTTATTTTGACTTACTTTATTTTAGCGAAGGTAAAATAATGTACCAAAGTTTCAACCCGACCAACTCAACCTCATGGTTTAAGTTGAGATTTTTCAAACTCCAAACATTAGGTTGAACTGTTCAAATGTCTTTAGCACGGCTAACCCAACTCATATACAGCCCTAACGGAAACCGAAAGGGCCAAATGTCACAAGTGGTGGTTTTGAACAACGATTGATTGGATATTGGTCGTAAGAGATAAGAATGGGTAGTGAATGCTAATTATGGTTGTAGGCCATCAATTTTCGGACCAACCACCCCTGTCACATTGGTTACTATTTTGAATGTATAAATTGCAAATTATTTTTTAAAGCTATAAATTAGATGCTAAAATACCAAAGGATATAACCAATTAAATCTACACAATTTTGCATAAAGAAATCTCACTTTAAAGTTAACTTTTGTAACTCTTTTTGCATATTAAATCTCCGTGAAACAATATTTGGTATTACTTATTTTGGACGATACTTGTAACTCATGTATACTTGCATGATTTACTTGTTATTATAATCTTTTGAGGGTATATATTACTCTATATACAAAAGGGTTAGACTATGTTCGATTAATAGAAGACCTAGTGAGAAATATCGATACAAAATTGAATTCATTTGGGTTAAAAATTGATTGGGTGGATCAAAATCAGATAAAAAATGAATTAGATATGGGTCTAGTACCCATAGGCCATACGGGTTTACTTGTAAGTTGCATTGGCCCCCATCTAGAGGATGGTGGTAGAGAACTAGAGATGGTAACGGGTAGACTCAGTCTAGGACCAAGACTGATTGGAACCGGGACTAGTAGGGATCGGTTATGCTTTTTATGAAAATTTATCTGGCTCGAGACCGGTTATAGATAGTCCAAATCTTAAAAAAAGTTCTTATAAATTATATGTCAAGTTTTTCAAAATTTCTGTAACATTTTCAAGTTCTTTCTCAAGTTTCTTAAGGTTTTTTTTAAGGCTTTTTAGTGTTCCAATACCAAGTTTCAAAATTATTATTATAAAAACATGTATAAATTTTGTGTAAAAATGATGTAAAGTGTATTTGAATAACCCAATTAAAGATTTTAAAGTGTATTTCAATAAAATATTGTCCAAAAACAATATTTTCTAATATGTTCAAAATGATTTAAAAACGAAAAAGAAAATTGAGACCAGTTTGGGCCCAGCCTCGAACTGGTTCTAGCGACCAAGCTTTGTACATGGAGAACTGTCCAGGTGTTCTTGGTCGAGATGGAGACCGGTTACCATATGACCAGTTACAAAAGAAAAATCTCGGCCCAGGACGGTTATTGGCCATATCTAGCGGGCGGTTTGCGATCTTGGATCCGAGTTTGACCCACATGTATTAAATAGTTTCTTAAAATTTTATTTAGGCCCCTAGAGTATTAATTTTTACAATTTCAGCTCCTGTTACTTTTTTTTTTGTCAGTGGTTTGCTAAAATCACGGGTTTTATCCTCTATCATTTGCATTTCATTGTTGTTTTCGTCCTTGATGCTAATTCCATTAGTGGTTGGTTGCAATTCATTTTGCATATACAACAGTTGAATAACATCGTTTTCTCGAGTTGTATCTTGTTCATTTTTTACCAAGGACATCTAGACCACCTTACATGCACCTCGACTAATCCCATGAAACCTGAAGATAGAAGTCAGGAGAATCTCAGTGAGCCTAAAGAGACTCGAACCAGTGGCCTACAGGAAGAAGCCCATGACCTAACATTCGTTCGCCGGTTGATCTAACCCTCAAGGTTTCGTATTCTGTATGATGCAACTCACATACTGTATTTCACAATATACTCGGGCTATAACCGCTAACCAAAACCGATGAAATACATAAAGGTTTAAACTTTTTTCCCAATTGATAAAATCTTGAAAGGGTACAATAGTTAAGGAACAAGACCTGACCCCAATGTTCTCATTCATCTGCACCCCTAATTTAAAACTCATATTTGACACACATTTCTCTTTCTCCTTCTATCATTCAAACTTCCCTCTTTTTTTCTCTTTTTTTTTGGTTTTTTTCCTTCTCATTATCAACTCTATTTTGATTTCACAGCAACATAACACCAAGATCTTTACATACCTGCAACTTTTTGCTCACATGGTCCAAATGGATTCCGTCTGTTTTTCAGCAAACGGTTCGACCATAACACATGGATGCGATGTAAAGGTTCTTCGACCATTTTTCCTGCAAGACGAACAGATTATTCAAAGCTTGGGCTTACGAAGAATGCAACTTGATTGACACGTTTACCAGTCACTGAATCGAAAGTATCTCTTGAAATATAACTGGAAAAGCAATTGCATGTATTGATAATCATCTTTCTTTTTGGTTTCAATTTCGTAAGAATTGGATCGACCGTAAGTGAGTCGGGTTTCATCACAAAAAGGAGAGTTGAATCACTGAACGATGTACATAACATGTTTGTTTCATGCAAACTAGGGTAAAATGAATCAAAATGCAACAAAGTTTAGTTTAGTTCAGTTCCTATTTAGTGTAACAAAAAAATAAATCTCAATCAATGTAACAGTTTCAAAATTTTCTGTTTTGACATGGAAGTAACCTGTTGATCTTGTAACATTTGATGATTTGATGATGTGGACACCCGTTTACAAGAAGTTCATGAAAGAGTTATGACAAAGTGGAAGATAAATTTGACATCCACATCATCATATGTTACAAGATCAGTAGAAGCTGCTGTGTAGGATTACATAAAAACCGTGAACCCTGAGCCCCAATCTAGATGGTTGATCCGAAACCATTTTTGGCTATAAAGCTCTTAATTTTGTCTTCAAATGATTCTAGTTCTTGAAGGGGGGAAATAAAGAACAATATTTTGAAGAAGATTTCGGTATTTACCTTCACATGGGTGCTTGGGAAAGCAGATGTTCGCAGAGTTTCTTGGGTCTCGTCCATCATTTTGCGCCTCGGGATACTCAGTATGAAAGCTGCTTGATCAGCCGTAGCGGCCATAGATGTGATCCTGTAACCACTCTCCCATCGGCGGTGGATTCCTTCACTTGGGTAAAGAAAATCAAGTTCTACAACCTAGCAGTGGCAGTGCAATATATATATCATCAGTATCCCAATAATTCATTTAGGGTAAATGATTATTAGGGGCAACAGAAACGGCTAATTACCCAAAAAGGCGAATGTACTTTCGCCAATATAACAAATATATATATATACATACATCTTAGTTCTTTATTTAAAGACTCTGGTCAAAATTTTGGTTAGAAATATGACATGTCATACGATACATATCAACATTCCTACACAACAAAGAGGCATCTGGGAACCATAACTAACCACAAATTAATTGCACTATTTTAGATCTACAAGATGCTTTCTGTGTGTTTCTTTTCCGTTCTTGATTTTGTGGGTCTCGTGTTATATGGCATGAGATGAATTTAAGATGTGATTGTGAGTCCATTTACTCGAGATGAGTTTAAACATAATGGGACCCACAAATCGAAGAAACGATTGTTAAATAGTTCACTTTGAAAATAAATGAAGACTTGATTATGGGTCCCATCTACTTGAACCGAGGATAAAACAAAAGGAAAAAAAGAAAAGCAAGGTAATCTAATGGAACCATAAGGAAACAATACCTGGTCAGAGAACCCTGCGTTTCTTGACATCACGACACCCCAGCGACTGCCAGCGGTGGTCATGGAAGTCACATGAAATCCTTCTTTCCATTTTTTGCTGATCCACTTAAACGGAAATGATTCACTCACTTTATACGATTGTTGAGAGTAAGGTGTTCCTGAAGACACAAGGGAAAAAAGCCGAAGGCAAGATAGAAGCAACCATTTAGTCTTTCAGCAATGACAATAACACCACAATACAGTCTATTTGTCAGCTTAATGAGACAGCTTATTCGGTCAGTAATACATGACTGTTTGGTAGTGGCTTAATGATATAGAAAGTGACTTATTTGGTAAGCTTTCTAGGGGAAGCTTTATGCAGAAAGCCAACTTTTTCTCCAATACTTCCCCTCCCAATAAAAAAAAACTCTCCTTCCATTCATAAAAAAAACCATCCCAAACAAAAATGTACCAATCTATACGAACAGATTAATCCACACAGACAATTTCCATATAAGACTTAATGAAAAACCAAACAAACAGCTCCTAAGATTACTACTACAAACTCATAAAAGCATATCTAACCTTTAGACATCACAACCAAAGAGCTCCCGTTGGCTGCACCAGCTATTGAACTGATGTAAAAATTCTTCTCCCACTGTTCCATTATCCAGTCCTGAAGAACATATAAATTGTTGTTAATAATGAAATGGAAACAGTATGATATATAAATGGCTGGAAGAATGACACAATTAAAATAACCTTGTGAAGGAAGACAGGTGAAACTTCGTAAACTTGGAAAGAAAATCCAGTTCCTGCATCCATGATTAAGGCCCAAAGATTTGAGGCTGACGCCACACAGCTGATGTAGAGACCGTCTTCGTTACCCTTCTCCACATGCTGACGAAGTCTAGCATCTGCAACATTATAGTGATATCTGCAAATGATGCAAAACATGTGTTAGTTATATTAACTAGAAAAACCAAAATGACATCATTGTTTAAACAAACCAAGATAATATCTCCACTATTTGTACACATCCTGTTTAAATGATGAACAAGAACACACACAAGTTGAACAGAAGTTTTATTCAAAAAAAAGTTTGAACAGAAATGCATTAACATTTCTTGTATAACTATAAAAATAGCATCTAGGATTCAACAAGTGCTAGCATAGAAGATTGATATAAAGGCCAATGTAAAACAATAAATAAATGCCCACTTTTCACTACCATCTTGCAGTGCATCTACTCGGCTTTTCAAATACTTCTGAAAAAGCAACAAATATCTAGACGTAATCTGTTTGATGACGTGTTTATTATAGGTATGTAGTTTAAAAAAGTGAAAGCTACTTGAACATATTTACACACTTGCTATCATAGCGTAATCTTTAATAGGGCTCATGTTTGGAAGTTCTTTTTGTCACAGTCAACATTAACCTTTTTTGGACTTCAATAAAAATCATAGGGGAGAGACTAGGAAGAAAAGTATAACATACTAATCAAAATGGCAAAATAGGAATATTTTAGAAATTGAGAGTTTTTATATGAATTAAGAATTTATACTTCTGTTCTATAAGTTATACTCTTGAAAAAAACCTAAACGCTTTATAATAGAGTATAGATATCTTTTTTGTATATAAGAAGGCTCTACGTATATATTCACCCAACGCACCTTTGCTTCATCGGCCGACGTGCATTGTAAACAGAAATCCATTGTGTAGCAGGACTACCTAATCGTACTTTCTTTTTCGGTTGTTCATCTTCTTCCAAATTGATAAGTAATCTACCTCGTTTCTGTCCAACCTGATGAAACAAAAACCACATAAAAAAGGTGCATATCTAAAACTCCCAAGAAGGAAACTAAAGATCGTCAAAGTGCAAGAACCTTGAGTGCCCCATCAATTCTGATTGGTCTTAGTGAGGTAACTGGTTCAATAAGACTCTCAAATAACGATATAAGCTTAGAATAATTTGGTTCCTCATCAAATTTCATATTTGTGACCGCTTCAAGGAAATGTTTAAATGGGGCAGGACAAAAGCAACACATCAACTCAGGAGAGGTGGCCATTTTCTTTTTGCAAACAAGAAAACTCTTGTTGTCTCCCTGTAACACATTCGATCGAAGAAGTAAACTTGGCTTGCAACTTCATTAGTTGTGAAAAGAGAAACATACAGAAATGTGATGAAGTGAAAAGACGAAACTGACCTGGTAGCCTTGCCATGGTAACCTTCCCTTAATGAGAAATATCAATGTGTACGCAAGTGACTCCAGGTCATCCCTTCTACTTCCCGTTCGACCTAGATGTGCATGCACGCTTGCATATCTTATTGTACCTCTGCCAAAGAACATTGTTGAAATAAATTTACATGAAAGCACATGATATTTATGGTTATTCAAAAAAAATTGACCATAATGCGACTGCAAGAAGGCTGTTCCTGCTACCTTTCGCTGGGAAATAAAGAAGGAATCAAGTCCTTTCACATTATCACGGAAAAAGGGATTGCCTATTAGTAAATTTTGACTTGAAAAAGACCCGGAACACCATACCCTCTCATTCACTTACTAAGGCCTATGAGCGTAGAATCATCTTGCTCCAAATACATTCAAAATACACAAACCTGAAAATATCTGGCCGTTGATCATATTCAACATGCTGACTAGATGTTGAATCTTTCCATTTTGATGCTGAAAAAGCAACAGATAATGGTGTTAATGACACTATCAAAAATTAATGACAAGGTACTGATGTAGAGTACTTTGAAACAAGAGATAAATCATAAAGAAAGTCGTGATACGCATATACTCCCTCGGTTCCATAATAGATGTCCACAATAAAAAAGGGACAAAGTCTTAGAAATGTGTAATTATTGCACTTTTCAATCATCTAAATGGCAATGTTACCCTTAATAATACACGGAGGACTGAATTACTTCATCTCATAATTAAGGGTAAAATTGGAAAGTACGCACCTAACTTTTGAAAGTGGACACTTATTTTGGAACAAACTATAATAGTAATATAGACACTTATTTTGGGATGGATGGAGTAGCTATTTTAACAAACTCCCACAAGGTCAATTTTCCATGCGAACAATTTAACAGAAGGGCATGACATTAGAAGGAAACATACCCAAGCCAAGATCAATAAGGTATAGTTTCTTCTCATCCACAGATCCTGGTTGACCGAGTAGAAAGTTTTCTGGCTTCACGTCTCCATGTACAAACCTTAATATAAGACAGCGAGCTCAATGCATTAGACAACAAGAAGTGTCCGATAAATTTGTCACTGCACATACAGATCGTTCAAGATAGCCAGAAAGTTTAGATATGCCTTACCCCTTTGAGTGAAGCTTTTCAAGAATTGATATTGATTCAACAGCAATGCAAGCCACCATACTTGGTGACATCCTGCGGAAAGAAATACAATAAACAATTAGCGAAAAAACTATCTTGTAAAAGACGACACAAGTGTGATCTTTTACATTCAACAATGATGTACAGAGGCTATCAACTTACGATTGGCCTAAAGAATTCCAAACATCCCAAAGACTAGGTCCAAGCATGTCCATGACCTGTGACAAAAGATTTATACATCTCATTATGCTGCATGGTGACAAATTATTTTACTACAAAATGAGCAACTTATGATGTCCAGGTCAAACAACTTTCCAAGTCAAAACTCACCAGAATGTAAAAATCACCTTGTCTACCCTTGTAGTGAACCCATGGAATCCCATAACATCCATTCAATGTGCTGTTGAATCAAAAGGCCAGTGCATTAGATCATAATGTCGCAACTTTGAGTTCAATTATGTATGCCTCCTAATATTTCAGAAATGGTACTATACCTGTAAACTTGCCACTCATAAGGAGGACCATAGTTGCAACCTTTACTATTACGGTGCTCAAACTTCAATGCCACCTATAAAAGTAGAACCTCAAAGGATCAAAATGGTAGCACAAACAACAAGTAGTTATCATGAACCACATTCGTTTATTGTTTCAACGTACCTCAACAGCATCAGGGCCTGTTCTTTCGGTACCACCACTTACCTTCCTACCAACATAAACCTGCCCAAAACCGCCCTTGCCCAACTTTCTCTCTGTCCTATATAAAGGAGAATTACCCACTTGTACCTGCATCAAAGCAACCACACACGTTACTTTACGTGTTTTATAGAAAGAACACAAATTAACGCTGAAAAGAATGATAGAAAATGAAACATATTAAATAAGTCTACTTGTTTGCAAATGCCATAGACTCATATTGACCAGATGTTAAAATTTTCTATAGTAACACAAATCAATCTCGAAGAAAGAATATACCCTCTCAGGTACTGGAGTTGCGTTTCCTTCCTCTTCAACTCCCATTATTTTATCCGCACTTCCACCCTCCATGGCAATATCTTTATCTGCAACCGCTTCTATTCTATTAAGAATAGGCTCTCGAACCCCAAGAGCAGCAGCGTCAGGAACAATCTCACAAGGTGGTTCTGGGTCCAAATCAATCAACCTAGCGCCTCTGCCTCTACCAGCAGTAGTTGGCCTCACCGGTATTGCTGCCGCAGGCCCTTTTGCTACAGCTGCAGCATCACCCCTTCCCCTTCCACCACCAGTCTTCCTTCTAGTTCTGTTTTGAGTTGGTGTAGCAACGTTTTCCCCTTGATCAACAGGTTGAGTGGCAGGCTGAAGATCACCAAGCCGTTTTGATCTCCTTGCTCCACTTCGCAGTTGTGGCATCGTCACCCATGCAATTTACATCCAACTCATATCCCCTGTGTCCAGTTCAAGCCTCCAATTAACTACACAAATGAAACAAAAAGATGCAAAAACATAAACCAATTGGAACCCCCTATTAATAGATGATTTTCATGCTGAATTTATTTTTGAAACAACAAAACTAAACATTTAAAACAATGTAGCTAGTAAAACTAACAAAACCTAAATTCACAAGCACTGCCAATAAAGACCAAAAAATTGCAAGAATGAGACAGAAAAGATGCTTGATTAGGAAGCAATATATGTCAAAAATTATACCATTTTAGCAAAAACGCTTGAAGATATTTATGAAGATTCTACATTCTGCTTCAAATTTGATCCATTTGGGAACAGAAAATCTCAAGACCATCAAAATTAAAAGGTAAACAGCTATTTGAAATCAAATCAGTTTACTTTATAAATGCATAAAAACAGGAACAAAATCCTTCACTGACAGTTGTACCAAATTTCAATGAATGAAGAATCAGACATAAAATCCGTGACAAAATCAAACAGTCTGATGATGCGTAACTCGCGATAACAACTTTATCCGATCATCAGAAATCTCATAAACTCAAAAAAAAATATCCGTACGTTAAATGTTTAAACCAAAAGTATCTCAAACAACAATCAAAAAATCAAACGGCAGATCGCCCATACCTCAGGAACTGCAAAATCGAGATGATCGGAACCAAATGCTTGATCAATCGGCGAAATACACACCCGAAAACCCAACTTTTACGACTCGATCGGCTCTCAGATCCTTCCGATAAACTCCATAACAACAAAAATCTTACCCTATGTACCTCTTCCTTCGCCTTATCTATCAAACATATAAAAATTTCAAAATCTTCTGCAACAAAAATCAAAACTTTCTGTTAGTTGATAGACTTAACAAGAAGAAAACAGATGAAATTGATGATCAATTCATGGAAAATGAGATTTGAAACGAAAAAAACGTACATATGGCGATGGGTTTGTGTGATTCTTGCGGCTATCGGTGTGTTTCTTTCTCTCTCTATCTTTCTCTGTAACTATTGCTATTGCGGTCTTGCCCTGGTTGTCCGACCTTTTTTATATTTAATAAAATAAATGAAAAATAAATAACATTTTCTTTTTCTGTTTTTATGATTTTTTTTCTCACAAAAATTCAAAAAAAAATTAAATAACATGAAATTTGCGACATGTGGCCTCAATAGCACCAGTTATTATTTTCCTATTTTCGTAATACAAAATATAATAAAATACGTATTTATTGATTTGAAATTCCATAAGTTACACTTATTATGACATTCGGTACAACAGATAAGTTTTTGGAAATTTATTATATGTATGGGTTATTAATATTTATCTATATTATCTTATAAACTAGATTTATCAAAAGTTGTAAAAATAATTTTTAATACATAAAATATTATACATTTATGCACAAAGTCTTAAAAATCTTAAAAACAACTCATAATGCATTAAGTACTGATACTTTATGCATTCAGTCTTAAAATCTCTTAATCTATAATTAAAATAACATATAGTACAAGTTATTAATGCATATTATTACATTTTTTTTTCATGTTTCCAAAAAAGTTTTGACACATTTCACTTATGTTTTCACCCTCACATACATGTATGTCTTCTTCTCATCCCCTAATGTGAGATTTAAACTGATATTCACCATGAGTTATTAAAAGTTCTTTACCATCCCTATTACAGAACCGTACATGAGATTTTCAAATCCCAAGGCTCAACTCTGGACAGGCGGTGGAAACTACCAAGCTGGAGTACGGTAGAAAAATTCCACATATTTTCACATATAGGATTTACATATACAACATTAAATTGTTTTAGAACTCTCGGTCTCGCTCTCGATTTCTTGATTCTTTGCTCTTGGTGTAAATCAAATATAATTGTGGAGTCATTTAAATATGTTGGATTTTAAATATATTGGATTTTAAACTGTCATACAATTTTTTTCACCGATGGACTGTAATTGGAACCATAACTTTTATTTATTAAATTGTATTAATATGTAAAGACCAAGTGTAACCTACATCATCGTTAAATATTCTCTAATAAAACCAGTGAAACTTCAAAATCATTAAAATTCACGGATGCCACCGCATTACGAGGGTACACAACTAGTATATACTCGAAGGGTATTTGTACAATGCAGTAAGATATATCTCGATTTTAATATATTTTTTATTTTTGTCTTTGTCAATATTATAACATGATTTTATATGATTTTGAGAAAATGAAAATGTTTCTATGTTTGAATAAAGTATAAATTCATAGATCCCATAAAAACTTGAAAAAAAAATATCGATATTAGAATCAAATTAAGTATTTAAAAGTTCTCATTTTTTTTGTATAATGTTTTTAATTTGATCTTTTATTATAATTTAATAATGAAGTAATTTATTTCCGGTTTAACAATATAATTTTTTAATAAAGATAATAATTACGTATTCTCTTAAATGTTAACGATTAACTTAATTATATTTTAGACTTTTTATATTTGAAATAAGATGTTTGTCTTAAATTTAATTATATATATATATATATATCTGTAGTTAGTTACACAAATTCAAAATGGAGTTTTAATAAGTTGTACTTATGTACAATTTACTTGTAATTTTGAATTTTAAGTATATGCATCAATGAACAGTACTTTATGCATGAAAAATGATTTTTAAGAGTTTTCTGTCAAATGCTTTATAATATAGTATAGATATGACATATAAGGACAAGTTCAAACGAGAAGTCGAGAACGTTAACTATTTAAGAAAACAGGAAAAAAGTTGTTAATATACAAAATCATATATGATCACGTACAAAATCATACATGATTCGTTGCAATTTTTCCTGCAAAGTCGGCCGCTTCAATTTTTTTTACATTAATGTAAAATCACATGTGATTTTGTAATATTAACGACATGTTTCTTATTTTCTTAAATAGTTAGCGTTCTCGTTTGAAACTTCCTCATGACATATGTGTTTAGTTATATACCAGTTTAAAAACAAAGCCGATAAACATGTATCTAATAAGCAATATATGTGTATGCAGATGAATGAGTTCATGAAAATTTGTATATTTACACTTGAATACTGGCATTTAGATTGTTTGTGTTGATATCTCTTGTAAGTGGATACACATACTGACATACATAATATAGTTATATTTGGTACGGATGAAATCCAGTAATTCATATACTTTTCGTAGATCAATTGGAGGCAGGTAAGTGGATTGGAAAATCTACTATATAAACCAGCCATGATTTTTGATTTGTTTTAAGTTAATGGTCCTATAAGATAAGCACATAAAACTAGCAATGACTCGGGTTTGATAACAAGCAACCAACGGTTGCTTGGTTCAGTTTTTCGGCTGAAAATCCTTCATCTAGATCCTGTTATCGAGTTTAAAAGGTCTTTATTTATTTCAGTTAAATAATAAAGTGACGGTTGTTGGTGAGGAGGAGAGGAAGCCTAAGGAGAACATGGGATAAGCAGTTAAAATCTGGAGGTCTTTACATAAACAATTGTTCTACTATTTGGGGTCAAGATCAGGTATGCATACATCTCACCTACCAAACCCCTACTGTTGATTGGGATTTAACGAGTCAATTTAGTTTGGTTTAGTTAAAATAATTAGAACATGTGAACTTAATGGTTTTTGGTTTTCACATCTACTGTTATGTTATGTTCTCGATACCTTTATTACAAAGGAAATGAAATAAAAGGGAGGGAAATAAAAATAAACTGGGGTTTTAGAAACTTTTCTATGAGATAAAGAAAAAGGAAGCATAAGGAAAATATGATAAATTTCCTCCCAAATGTGGGAGGAAAGAGGAAGAAATGAAAGGAAACAAATTAAAACCTCGATATTATTAATATTTTCATTTTAATGATATAGACTTGGGATCACGTGAGACCAACTTGTTTTAGTGAGACATATGATACCATTTTTTTACACTTGAAACTTCATAGCAAAACGCTATGAAGGTAGCCTTCACGGTGTTTTTGCTATGAAGTATCGGGTTTTTTTTTTTTTTATCTTTACAGTGTTTTGCTGTGAAGTTTCAAGTATAAAAAAATGGTATCACGGGTTTCACGAAAACAAGATGATATCACTTGAACTCAACCTTAATGATGTATATTTAAAGAATATATTTGTAAAATTGACATATTATAACATCAAATATGATTTTCCTTATTTTCCTTTTCTGTTTTTCTTTATAATATATATAAAAATAATAATTTCCTTCTATTTATTTTCTTTTCTTTTCTCCCCAAACTCTAGAAAGCGTTATGCAATAAACAATCATGTTTCATTTCTGTTTTTGAACTTCATGATTTTTGGCTACCTACTTCGTATAGATTCATCCCAAGGGTCGAATTTTGTAATTTCGAAGGTATTGAAGGATTGTGTTGCATTACCACTTCCATCATGTATCAATATTTGCATTCAAAGGACTCGTGATTCGAGCTAATATGGTAATAAATTTTTACCAAAAAAATTCAATGATACGGTAAAACTGTATTTTAATTCACAACCGTGAATGTATGAGGAAGTTTGCAACACATCTGCTAATCCCATAGGACTTTGGAGTTAACAGTTGAGCAAACTTCCTCTAATATTAAGGGGGCTCGAACTGATGACCAATAGGGAGCAAACCTAAGGACAAGCAGTTGCTTATTTGTAAGCAACCGAGTGATTGATCAACATGTATGTTTCAAGTGGTACCAATCGAGCATTGATTGTCATGAGTTGAGCAAATTTGTTTCTTTGTTGGTCATGAAGAGTCATGATCGCATATCAAGTTTTCAAATCAAGTGTTTTGTCGACTATGGTAGAACCATGTATCCCAAATCGATGTTTTCTTTGTTTTCTCAAAAAAGATAACTGGAAAACTAACATACAGGGCTCAACTTACCAAACATGACCCTGACTGTCGGTAAAGCAAGAATCAATAGAATCGACTCAGACATGACAACAAAGATCTGTTGCCTTTCTTGCACATACGAGTGGTAATCATTATATATCGACCATCTCTTTAAAAGAAGCTATCGAGTAAACTTGACTTTTTTAGAATCCATCCCTTAGTTAACTATCTTATTTTCACTTTAAACATGTTAGCTTCAGTGATTATTTTCCTTTTTACCAAATCTAATCGATAACAATGAATACATAAATCTTTTAGTCTCAAAATGAAAGGAATCAATTACGTTTTTTAACCGTCGTATTTTTAATTTTTTTTCTTTCGGAAATTTCTAAAGTAAATTGCGTTTTCTTTCATGTGTTTCGTAAAATTACGACTTTTGTCCCTGTGATTTTGAAATTATGGTTTTCGTTTTATTATTAACCTGGATATCCAACCCGTTATGCGAGCAGATTAGCCCCAGGATGACCACTTCTTTGTAGGTAGCCCGGAGTCACCGCATTTGAACCTCCGTGGCCACAAGGGGATTCTTGTTCCTACTTGGATTTGAATATAGGATCTTTAGACACTTTTAACTTTTGAGGTCCAAGTTCAAACAAATCAGGTACCACATTGAAGTTGGTTTTTGTCCTTGTGGTTTACTATACACTGTTATTTTTGTTCATAAGGCTAACACCTACATTTAAGTATGAGGGACGAAAACAAAAAGAATTATAAACCACGTAGACGAAAAACAACGATAAATGGTAGATCATAAGACGAAAACCATAACTAGTTGTAATTTAAAAGGATGAAACTCGTAATTTCAAAAACACGTGAATGAAAATAGCAATTTTTAATAAACCACAAGGACTAAAGAGCAATTTACTCAATAAGTTGTTTTCAGGGTTAACAATTCGACGGGTTGGTTCTACACCCAATAGTTTGGGGGTGTAACGTGTCAAGTTTCAATAATTCAAGGGGGTAAAAGGAAATTTTGTTAAGAAGAAACCAACAAATTGGAAGGGAATGGAAGCAATTAGAATTCACTTTATCATCTTCAATCCCATGGCTGCAGCTTCTCTTCTATCTCTCTCTCTTCCCAAACCAACCATACTCGTTCCAAAATCAACTGCTTCCACCATAACTCCTTCTGTGACAGTTACAGAGACGCTTGATCAGAAATTTGGCCGGAAAGGGATCAGATTCTTCGAGTATGACGACGGTGCTCAGATGGCAGAACTTACTGTGAGAAATGGCAGTTCGTTGAAGCTTCAATTGAACAATGCTCATGTGACTTCTTACAAACCTAAAGTGTATTGGAAAGATGACGGATTTGAAGAGGTTTTGTATACGACTTCGTCTGCAAAAGGTGGAATTGGTTTGGTGCTTAATAATGCTTCTGATGATTCGAAATCTAAAGGTGTGGATTTATCGAAATGGATCGTCAAGGATGTTGATTCGGACTCCATTGATGCTCTTCAGGTTCTGTTCCTCTTTTGCTTCATCTCCATATGTATGAGTATGAATTCATATCAAATTTAAATCACTTGCAAACATATATTATATATACATACAGTTGAGAACTTGAGAATTATACCTCGTCTATTATTATTTAGACTAATTATCGTCTAAAAAGGAAAGATAAAAAACATAAACTCTTGATGATTTTGAATCTCAATGTTCACTCATGAATTGTGTTTTAGAAGAAAATTAATTCGGTACATCTCGGTATACTTTATTAGTATTGACATTCAATTATAATTGATTTAACGATGAAGATTTTCTTACGATTTCATCGTAACTTTTTTTCTCTTACCGGATATATATATAATATGCATATTTAATTGTTTGTTAGATAAAATATACAAGTGGATAATGTTACGTGAGTTCATGGTTCAAGTTCTTTTTGATTAACAAAAAAATAACGGATATAAGATTTTAACATAAAGAAAATTAATACAATTTTTATTAAAAAAAATCTGTAGTTTATATAAAATTAATAAAACACCCTATTAATACATTTTCATACTTACTTTTGGAACTTGTCTTATTTAATTTCGATTGTATGATAAGTTTTTTTATAGTTATAATTACGTTTTAAAATATGTTATAATCCGTTTAATTTATTTTTTATATTTAAATTAAAAAATAATAATTATATATGATAAAAAATAAAATATATAATGTTTACAAAATTATATTTTAGATTGGATTGGATCACGATTAACCGACACAAGAAGTGAAATTAGGTTGGAATTGAAGATTATATAGGTGGATGAGAGAAAAAATAATATTTTAATTATGATTGAGTTGAAATAGATTGTGAGTAACTTTTAATTAATACAGGTAGAGCTGAGTTGCACCACGAGTGGACCTCTCGACATAACCTATGTGATCTCCCTCTATGCTCTAAGCATGGCAACAGCGGTTATAGTGAAGAACAATGGCCGAAAACCCGTTGATCTGAAAACCGCTATTCTTACCCATTTTAAGTCCAAGAAAAGAGGAGGAACCGCCATTGATGGCCTCAGAGGTTGCTCCTATTGCACCCACCCTCCTTTATCTTCTTCGTTCGAGATCCTATCGCCACCTGAAGCAATGAAACCCGAGGATCCCGGCTGGTTTTCGTTCGGCTGGGAACCCGAGAAGAAAGTAGGGGTTTGGAGTGTGCAAGATGTTCCAATCACCGTCTTGAAACATAAACTTAGCAGAGTTTATAGTGCTCCTCTTGAGGAGAGATCTAAGGAGTTCTATAACACACCTCCATCAAAGTATGAGACCATTGATCAGGTAATCTTTATATGATGTTTGCAATCGCGTTATTTTGTCGTACCAAAATAATCGTCAATAGCGAAAAAGAAACAATGTGGACCATACACTGCAAAACACAGAGGCTTACCGACGAAAAAATCTGTCTGTAATCCACCGGGAAAAGCCTATGACTATTTAATGGGATATAGAAGATATTTGGACCATTGATCACTTTTAATCTCAATACACCAATACAGTAATTAGTATTTAGAAGGAAATTGATCTGGTGTATCTCATTAGTGTTTCTCTTTGATTATGATTGATCAAAGGGTGAAGATATTTTCTTACCATTCTCACTATAACTTTCATTCTCACCGCAACCCAACCCAATGGACAATGACTATATTTCTAATTTATTAGTAAGGGGGTGTTTGGAATTGCTTATAAAAACAACTTATTGACTTATTTCGATGTGCCATCGATAATAAGCACTTTTGAGTGTTTGGATAAACAACTTATACCGGTGCCAAACCAGTAATAAGAAGTTTTTGAATAAGTTAAATCTTTCTGATTTATAATAAGTTGATAGTGCTTTTATAGAAAATTATAAGTTGTTTCAAATAAGCAATCCCAAACACCCCCTAAATAAAGATTTTGTTTGAAATTCTAAAGCACTCTTATTAGCTTTTTTTGTCAAATTCAAAACTAACATGAATGTTTGCATCTATTTTCAGGGAAGGGAATTGTTCTTTAGGGTGGTAAGAATTGGTTTCGAAGACATTTACTTGTCGAGTCCTGGATCATTGTCTGAGAAACACGGAAAAGACTATTTTATCTGTACTGGTCCTGCTTCGATGTTGGCTCCAATCACTATCGAACCGGGTGAAGAGTGGAGAGGGGCACAAGTTATCGAGCATGATAATTTGTAATTTATATATAATCATATTTATTTTATAAAATTTAAATTCTGTCACAGATTTTCTTAACACTTCCGATTATGTACATCTACCAGGTGCAAGTGTATTTTAAGAGCAGAATATGAAATAAATTACATGTTTTGAATTGTTTTGGGTATCTATGACTATTTATGTGATTGTACACCCATGTGGATTGTTTCAAGTTTTTGTCCACTTACAACACTTCAGAGGGTTAGAAAAGAATGTATACTGATAGATCGGATCGGATCGGATCAGAAGAAATAATTGTGAAAAAAAATTAGGATTTTAATTTGATATATGTATTTTAGATCCATTTAGCAAACAATTACTGGATAAGTGCTTACTGGTGTCAATTACCTTACCGTATGAGCATGACAAAAACCGAGAATCTTACCCGATAAAAAGTATAACAAGAACCGAGATTCTTACTTGGTAAATGAGGAAGAAAACTCTTATTCGGTTAACTCTTACCGGATAAGATACACCACCAACAATCCATTTCGATGATCGAAAATGTTATCCGATAACGAAAGGATAAAGACTCTTATCGATAAATGGTTATCGGTAAGCATTTGATAAACAAAGCCCTTCATACTTTTTCACTCTTATCCTATCTCCGAAAATTTTGTTATACCTAACCAAAAAATACATTTTTGTTTCATTCAGACCTATAGATCTCATCTGAAGCCAAATGTAAGACCACAAATCTCTTAGGGTGCGTTTGGTGCGCAGACAGGACAGGACAGGACAGGACAGAACAGGACAGGACAGGACAAGACAGGACAGTTGTTCAGCGTTTGGTAAGACAGGACAAGACATGACAGAACTGGTTAAAATGACCAATTTACCCCCAGTAAGCTGTTTAGTGTTTTTTTCACCAAAATCAATCTTAATTAAAAACTCACTAGCATAAATCAAGTAGCAACTTTACCAAAATCAGGGGGCAGTGGGTTCATCATCTTCATCCACAATATCAAACACATTTACCAAAAGTAAATCACAGAAACCAAAATTCAAACACAAATTGATGCAGGGGGCAGTGTTTGGTACATGCATCCCGTATAAAATGAGAACCAAAGCCTCATCCAAGTAAAAGATTGGGAATAGGAATTCCACCCTAGGTATGGTTTGCTTGTTTATTTTTCTGCAAACACATAGCAACTGTGATTACCAATGCAAACATAAATGCATCTCCATTGCTGCTCAAGTTAAAGTCACAAAAGTTGTTGATGCATCAACTTGAACCTACCAAAATACCAAAAGTAAATCACATAAACCACCTTAGGTATGGTTTGCTTGTTTATTTTTTCTGCAAACCTTCGACCATCGAGAAGCTTATAACAAAAAAAGATTTCAAGAATTTTTTTTGAACAATACTTGCAGAAAACATGCTGAACAGGTTGGGAATTCAAAGGGAAGACACTGTTAATCGAGAAGTAGCCGTCGATTATGCAGGTGAAAAACCTCGATTGGATATGGAGAGAAGAGAAGCTTACCATCGATTGAAACAGTGGAGAAGAGAAGAACGCCGATCGGAACTTGCAGACGATGGTCGCCGTCGATGAAGGAAGCGATGGAGGCAGGAACGATGGAGCAGCCGATGTAGGGGAAAAAGGGTAATGAGGGAAAAATGTTTGAGTTCCACTTAGTTCTAGGGGGGTAAGGTAGAACTCGCGTGTCCCACCCTTGTCCTACCTAGTTCTACTTAGTTCCATATTAAGCCGCCACACCAAACGTAGGACAAACGTGTTATGTCCTGTCCTGTCCCACCTTGTCCAGCGCATCAAACGCACCCTTAAATATCATATATTTTCTGATCCATGTGTCAAAGACACTTCACCTTCTAATAGGGTTGCACATGGGTTGGGTTGGGTTGGTCAGGTTTGGCAATCTGAACAACCCAACCCAATGTTTGGGTTTGAAAAATATGAATCTAACTCAAACAAAACAAAACTACAATCCTTCGCATCTCAACTATATGGAGTTAGGTTGAGTTGGTCAAGTTGAAACTTGGGTACATAATTTACAAGCTACCTAAGCATTTATAGTTAAACGAAGTAAAATCAAAATGAAAACATACAAAATGCTAACAAATTCAACAAAAAAATTGAAGCTTCATGCAACAAGAAAGTAGAATTATAGTTGAAATTGCATATAATTTTGAATATAACTAATTACGAGTTGATATAATGTCTAATATATATATATATATATATATATATATATATATATATATCAAATGTTTAACAATCATATTAAATCCATAGTATAAAAAGACATCGAGTTGGATTCAGTTTAGTTACCCAAACCCAATAAATATATTTTGACCTAATTTTGTATCAACTATGTATCGAATTACGTTGAATTAATTCTTTTTGGTATTTTAAACTGGATGGAATGGGTTGATCAATTCTTTGAGTATGCTTACGTCCCGTTTGGTTTGCAGGAATGTAATGAATTTAGAGGTAGTTGTATTTTAAATCAATTACAATCACATGTTTGATTTGTTAGATTGTCCAGATTTGAAATCCTACAAACATAGTATTTTAAATCCTTAAAGGCTGCTCAATATTTCATAGGATTGTATCCAATAAGTTTTTTAAAAATATTAAAAACATTTATTTTATAGTAATCGAATAATAAAAATATTTTTATAATTATTTATAGATAATGAAATCCAATTCCATTACAAAACAAACACACAAATATTCTCCATTTCAATTCAAATGCCTTTGTAAAATCCAAATCCTTCAAATATAATCCCACAAACCGATCCGATCCGATCCGAACCGAATCCTAATCTATTTGGGCCGCTGGATCATCCATTTTACCGGTTCCGGTTCTTTCCACGAGATATATACGATAGTAGAAGAATAATTAAAAAAGGAAGAAAAAACAATGGCCATGGTTCACAGTTCCATCTTCTCACCCAACTTCATCCATCTTCAACCTTCAACAAACTCCATAACCAAAATCGCCTCTTCTTTCCCATCTTCTCCAACTAAATATCACAATAATTTGAATTCGCACACAAGAAACTTCCGATTGCCTAGAGTCGCTTCGATTCCACATCCACCGATCAACGTCGGTTACCTAGAAACAGAATTCAGTGGCCATGGCGCCTCCTTCACAAGCCTCGGGGAAAGCTGCGTTGTCAGGATGGGGCTGGACAACGGGAGTGTAGCCACTCTCATGCTGCCAAGTGGACTGATTACATCCTACAAGGCGCCGATGTGGCATGGAGGATTACTGGAATTGCTGCATACGTCGGTGTCTGAGGGAGAGGACGGCGGTGGTGCGGTGATTCGTGGTGGCGTTTCCTTAGCTTTCAGATGTGAAGGAGGTGGTGATGAAGAAAATGGAGAGATCTCATGGTCTCCGAGTATTTGGAGTCTTCGCAATGTTGGAGGAAGTCCTCAAGGGTCCATTCAGGTGAATGCATTAAATGCTTTGTACCGTACAACTCCATAATCGATAATTTTCCATTCTACCGATTCGTTTTTCCGATTATTGATCCCTTATGTTCAATGACCGTTGTTTGATTTGTATATTATCGATTATAATCATTATATTACAGGTAGAACTGATCGCTAGCGATTCAGAACACAAAATCCAAATCAAACACATTGTGACTCTGCAAAATGATGCCATAAGCTCAGAGATTGTGATTACCAACTTTAGACCATCGTCACTCCGACTAATGGGGTCGATCATCGGTCACTTGGCCGTAAGCACCCCAGAAGCAACTTTTGCCGTCGGGCTCGAGAGTTCCAATTACTTCGTTAAGCCACCGATTTTCTCAAACTTTAGTATAATTCCTCCTGATTTCAACAAGAATGATTCAGATTCCAGAAACTCGTGGGGTCCAACTGCGTTCAAGCAACTGCTGTCGGGATGGGGGATGGGAAACCCTAATGATGGCCGCGGCGATAAGGGACAAAAAGATGAGGAGATGGAGGGTGAAGAGGATGGTAACTACAAGCATTTAACCGAGAAACTGAGCTTGATCTACACCAGTGCTCCTAGGAGTTTCACCATCATGGACAGGGTACTTCTCCTGAATTGCACCAAAATTTGACACATCAATCGTGCTTTGTGAGTTGTACTCTTTGCATAAACAGTTGTACTGATCCCAAATGACCAACACAATTATCAGGAAAAAAATATTTACATTATGGCTACCCGAATAAATTCTCTCAGAAAAATAGCAACAAATCGCAGGTTAGCGCCACAAGGCATTTCCCTTTGCGGTTTTGCAAGCTGCATAACGGGCTTGCGGCTTCACAATTTGTGACTTCGGCTTGTTTCTTTAGCGTAGACGCAAGGGACTATGATCCCACAACTTGCGGTCTTTTTGCGGTGGACCCACTTTTTCGCATCAATTTTGTGACGGCAAGGAAAAATATACTGCCCGGTTGACTTGCGGTTGTTTGGCTATTTTGTGAGAAAAGTTTGTTTGGTGGCTATAAATTATAAAGTAAATGTTTTTTTCTTGAGGTGGTAAGTTGAGATGATAACCCCCAAAACGAAGGTTGTGAAAAATATTGAATTGCACAGGCCCGAGTCTGTTGAACCCGATTTTAATGATGCAAAAAGGAAAACCTCAGGTTGGGCTGGACTTTTGGGCTTGAAATTGGGTCGATTTTAATGATGCAAAAATATTTTTCTTTTCTTTTTACTAAAAATGTAACAATTTAAGTACTAAAATTATTTTGCAATTGTTACTCTAATCTGACTTGGAGTTAAAATTGTAACTTTAACTATAACTCTAACCGGACGATGCTTATTTGTGTATCTCTACTATAATATACTGCTTTTGTTTTGAACACATTCTTGTAAGACATTCATTGTGTTTTACAGGGTAAAAGGAACTCGGTTGTATTGGGTAGAGAAGGCTTTAATGAGTTGTACCTTTTCAGCCCCGGCTCGAGCCACAAATCATATGGCAAGTACTCATATATATGCATCGGTCAGGCGGCATTGCTCAAACCGGTAACCATAGGTCCAGAATCCGAATGGAGAGGGGTGCAACACTTGCACAACCCGAATCTTTAAGCGTATGTACATTTTCTTGTTACATAGAGATTACTCAGTTTGAAAATTCCATGACCAATTTCTAGTAATAAAAAAAAAGGTTACCATTTCATGATTGCTTGGGTCATATTTGATAACCATAAACTAACTTATTTTTTGAGCTTATTGAAAAACCATGTATTATAGTAAACTATAAAATAGCTTTTTGACATAACTGCACATTATATTTTTCTTTTAGTTCATTTATATCAAATCAACTAGTTTTTATGAAACGTGACTTGTTTGGTATCTAATTGTTAGTTTATTAGTCATTAACTAGTTTTTCACCTATTCACATTCTCCTAATAGTTAACTAGCAATTTGCTTACCAGCTAGTTTGCCCGATATAACATTGGTAGATGACCACACTTGCTACTAGGGGTGCTAAAAAACCCGATCAACCCAATCCAACGCGAAATAATTCAACCCGAAGCAACCCGATGTCTAATTGAGTTGTAAAATTGTCAAACCGTAGGCATTGAGTTGATATTAGGTTACTATTATTGGAACCCAAATCAACCCGATAAACTCGATATTCTTTTATTTTTTGGATTTAATATGCTTGTTGAATTTATATTATTATATACATTAGACAATTACATTATCATGTATGCTCTTCATATACACATATTTTCAATCTATTCACATCTATATATAACTCATTCGTATATATATTCAGTAACTATGAACATATATATGTAAATTGAGAAAATTAACTAAATGTGATATATGTAAGAAGTATGGATAAATTGTATCAAATGGTTGATGATGAAAAAGAAATTATGAGTAGAGAAATAACATATTCAAAGTTAGAAAAATATTTTAATGTACCAAAGTATCTACTCGACCAACCCGTACGGGTTGGTGCACTTTGATTTGGATTGGGTTGAGATTTTTCAAAACGCAAGCATTTGGTTGGGTTGTTCAAATGTCTTCAACCCAACCCATTATACCCTACTTGCTAGCTCCTTCCTAGCTGTTTAGGCATGTAACTTTCTATTTTAGGTAACATATGTTTTCAATCTCTCTTTATACCTCCTAAAAAGTTTCTATATAGATTTGAATGAGTAAAACTTTAATATTCAAAGTTACTATTTATGGAAAGAAACAGTAACCCATCGTTTCCTCCTGCTATTTCGCCGCTCAACCCCTCCCATTCTTGTTCGAGTACCAACTACCCGATTAATTCACCAAAATGAAGAATGCTCGAGAAAAACAAATAGATTTCGGATTTGTTTGGCAAGAGATGGAATCTAATCAAACTAGGTGGTGAGGGAATGGCAAGTTCCCAACCATCTAAGAAGACAAATAAGAGCACCGGTGGAGGTGGTGGTGCATCCTCCGGCCAAAACGTTAAATTTGCACGTCGCACATCTAGTGGGCGTTATGTGAGCTTATCTAAGGATGACATTGATGCATCCGGGGAGACATCGGGTGATTACACGAATTACACGGTTCATATCCCCTCAACACCCGACAATCAACCAACAGAGACGTCAGTTGCTACAAAAGCCGAAGAACAATATGTTTCTAATTCACTCTTCACTGGTGGTTTCAATAGCGTCACACGAGCCCATCTCATGGACAAAGTGATCGATTCGGAGGTGAACCATCCTCAAATGGCAGGATCAAAAGGGTCATCATGTTCCATGCCGGCTTGCGATGGCAAGGTCATGAAAGATGAGAGAGGCGTTGATATTATCCCTTGTGAATGCAGGTCAATTAGTTTTTCCCTTGTTCTAGCCGACGCGAGACTCCAACATAAATGACTCGTTTTTGGTTCTTGGTACAGGTTCAAGATTTGTAGAGACTGTTTTTTAGATGCTCAGAAAGACTCTGGGCTGTGCCCAGGATGCAAAGAGCCATATAAAACGGAAGATAATGATGACGATCCACCTGGTGGCACTGGAACATTGTCACTTCCGGGACCGGACGGTAAGGGTGGTGATCCACGGCAGCGTATGTCGGTGGTGAAGAGGAACCAAAATGGGGAATTTGATCACAACAAATGGCTGTTTAATGAGACATCCGGTACATATGGAGTTGGAAATGCGTATTGGCCACCAGAGAATGGTGATGGTGATGGAAAAAGCGGTGGTCTTGGAGATCCGGCCGATAAACCGTGGCGGCCACTCACCCGGACAATGCCTATTGATGCAGGCATCATTAGTCCTTACAGATTGTTGATAGCAATTCGTTTTGTTGTTTTGTGTTTCTTTTTGGCATGGAGAATTAGGCACCCGAATAACGATGCAATGTGGCTGTGGTTCATGTCGATTGTTTGCGAGCTCTGGTTCGGGTTTTCTTGGATCCTTGATCAGATCCCAAAAATTTCTCCAGTCAATCGGTCCACTGACCTCCAGCTTCTTCACGACAAGTTTGAGATGCCGGACAGGACCAAGAATCCGACCGGTCGTTCTGACCTCCCCGGTCTTGACTTCTTTGTGTCAACCGCCGATCCGGAGAAAGAGCCACCGCTTGTCACTGCCAACACCATCCTCTCGATCCTGGCGGTTGAATACCCGGTTGAGAAGGTTGCTTGCTACATATCCGATGACGGTGGTGCCCTTCTCACCTTCGAGGCAATGGCGGAGGCTTGCAGCTTTGCTGATCTATGGGTGCCGTTTTGCCGGAAGCATGACATCGAACCAAGGAATCCCGACACTTATTTCTCATTGAAGGGCGATCCAACCAAGAACAAGAAACGGACGGATTTCGTAAAGGATCGGAGGAGGGTGAAACGAGAGTACGATGAGTTCAAGGTCAGGATCAATAACTTGCCGGATTCGATAAGGAGAAGATCAGATGCGTTTAACGCCAGGGAGGAGATGAAGATGCTGAAGAACATTCGGGAGAGCGGTGTAGACCCATTGGAGCCGATAAAGGTCAAACGGGCCACATGGATGGCCGATGGCACGCACTGGCCCGGTACTTGGGCTAACCCTAGCGCGGATCATAAGAAAGGTGACCATGCTGGTATCTTACAAGTAATGTTGAAACCTCCGTCCCCTGACCCATTACGCGGGTCAGGGGATGACAATCTTATCGACTTCTCAGATGTCGATATAAGATTGCCAATGTTCGTGTATATGTCACGAGAGAAACGGTCCGGCTACGACCATAACAAGAAAGCCGGGGCCATGAACGCACTGGTGCGTTCCTCTGCGGTCCTGTCTAACGGACCGTTCATCTTGAACCTAGACTGTGATCATTATATATACAATTGTATGGCGGTTCGAGAAGGGATCTGCTTCATGATGGACCGTGGTGGCGAAGACATTTGCTACATTCAATTCCCTCAACGGTTCGAAGGAATCGATCCCTCAGACCGTTACGCCAATCATAACACCGTCTTCTTTGACGGAAACATGCGGGCACTCGATGGGCTACAAGGCCCGTTTTACGTGGGAACTGGATGCATGTTTAGACGTTTTGCGTTGTATGGGTTTGATCCGCCAAAGCTGTCGATGATAACCCCCGAAAAGAAAGGGTCCGACGGCAACGTATCAGCGCCCGAGGCACAAGCATTGAAGGCGACCGATTTCGATCCGGACCTTAACGTCAATGATTTACCACGACGGTTTGGAAACTCGACACTTCTGGCAGCATCTATACCTGTAGCCGAGTTTCAAGGCCGTCCTATCGCTGATCACCCGGCTGTCAAGTACGGTCGTCCTCCCGGTGTCCTTCGCAATGCCCGTGAACCTCTTGATGCCACTACAGTTGCTGAAGCTGTTTCAGTTATTTCTTGCTGGTAATCCTACTTTTGATAAATAAAAATTTGTTGTCCCGATGTCACGACCCACGTAAATCCACATCATCAATTTAATGAGAGGAAAGAACAGTAAAAAAATAATAATAATGATATGGTTTTACGTGATTGGTGAAGACAAGCCGATTTGGTGTAACATTTTTATTCAGCTTTGATGCCACTATACCAATTTGAGTGGCCCTTTAGAGTGTAGCTCTGTGGGCAAAGAGGCGGAAAGACCATGCTCAAATACACAAGAGACTTCGAATCCTATAGGAGACGTGTTTTAGCTTCAACCGTTGAGAGTCAACTCTGGAATGCATGTCCTTCCTGGGTGGGTTTTCAAATTTAATCCAATGTGGATGAGTTTTCAAAAAGAAATCGACTAAAAAGTGAATTTAGTTGATTAGATCGGCTATTTTGGTCGATCTCCAATTTCTTTCCTGAAGGATTTATTCAACGAATTAACAGTTGCTGTTGCTATAAACACAGGTATGAGGACAAAACGGAATGGGGTGATAGAGTGGGTTGGATCTATGGATCGGTGACGGAAGATGTGGTGACGGGATATCGGATGCACAACCGTGGGTGGCGGTCGATCTATTGTCTCACGAAACGAGATGCTTTCCGTGGATCTGCACCGATCAATCTCACCGATCGTCTCCATCAAGTTCTCCGATGGGCTACCGGCTCCGTCGAGATCTTCTTCTCTAGAAACAATGCTCTTCTAGCATCCAAACGACTCATGTTTCTGCAACGTTTAGCGTACCTAAACGTCGGCGTTTATCCCTTCACATCTCTCTTCCTCCTCATCTACTGCTTCCTTCCGGCGCTTTCGCTGTTTTCCGGCCAGTTCATCGTCAAAAACCTCAACACCACCTTCTTAGTCTACCTCTTACTGATAACCCTGTGTTTGATCGGACTCGCCGTGTTGGAAGTGAGGTGGTCCGGTGTGTCTCTAGAAGATTGGTGGCGGAACGAGCAGTTTTGGCTGATCTCCGGTACGAGCTCTCATTTAGCGGCCGTGATTCAAGGGCTATTGAAGGTAATTGCCGGAATCGAGATCTCGTTCACGTTGACTTCAAAAGCTGTTGAAGATACAGGTGATACTTACGCAGAGCTGTATCTAGTGAAATGGACGTCGCTGATGATTCCACCGATTGTTATCGCGATGGTTAACGTTCTTGCCATGGTTGTGGCCTTCTCGAGGACGATCTACAGCATAACGCCGCAATGGGGGAAGTTCATCGGCGGTTCGTTTTTCAGTTTCTGGGTTTTGGCTCATTTGTATCCGTTCTTCAAAGGATTGATGGGGAGGAGAGGGAAAACGCCGACGATCGTGTTTGTTTGGTCTGGGCTCATCGCTATCACACTCTCGCTGTTGTGGGTGGCTATTAATCCTAACTCCGGCATGGAGGACGCCGCTGCCGGAGGAGCTGGCTTTAAATTTCCGTGAAAGAATAAGATGTTTGTTTGTAACATTAATTTACGCCATGGCTTCCAACCCACGTCGGAGCCTTTTTTAAATATTCTGTTTTTTCCGGTTTTAATAGTTTTGTATATTTTATTTTAAAATGTTATTAAATTGAAATTTATTCTTAATTTGCTTCCAAGATGAGGACCGAGGGTGAGGCCGTGAGGTTGAGACGGTGAAGGTGATGACCGAGTTGGATTGGATTGGATTGGAAAACCATTATAGGTCTGAAAAACCCCATTTTTGACATTAGGTTTGAAGAGTAAAATGATCATTTTTGACATTTAAATTGTTTATTCAGTATAACCGAACAACAACTTATCTGTTAATATACAGACAACTATATCTATACAGGTCTTAACAGAGAACCGAACAACCTCTAAATACACCTCATTTATGAATATTTTTTCCACGTATATCAACGTGAATACCTACTTTTTAGGTCGTAGAATACATAAATTGACATAATATGTGTAAATATTGGTTTAAAAAAATTAACTAAAAAGTGAGATTCGTTATCTACGTAAATTTCCTTCTGCAAAGTGAAACAGATCAAGAAAAGGAAAGATGACTTCAGCAGTGACGAAGATTTCTGTGATGCAGTCAGCAATGTACCGGTGATTCTATTAATACGGATACCACCCCTCACTATTCACTCAATTACCCTACTTATGGCTGCCCATATCACCACCGTCTCACCGTCGCAAACCACCCTCCAACTCCAGGATAGGGTTGCAATCGTCACCGGTGGTTCCCGTGGCATTGGCAAAGCCATTGCCCTTCACCTTGCATCCCTTGGGGCAAAGCTCGTCGTCAATTACAATTCCAATTCCACCCAAGCGGATCTAGTCGTCTCGGAAATCAATTCCAATTCCCAATCCGAATCTCCACGAGCTATTTCTTTCAAGGCCGATGTATCTGATCCAACACAAGTGAAATCCCTCTTTGATGCAGCTGAATCCGCCTTCGATTCCCCGCTATATATCCTTGTGAACTCCGCCGGCATTCTCGACTCCACCTACACTTCGATTGCCAACTCGTCCATCGACGCATTCGATAGGACCTTAGCGGTCAACACAAGAGGACCATATTTATGCTGTAAGGAGGCGGCGAACCGGTTGAAACGAGGCGGCGGAGGGAGAATTATTTGTCTGACGTCATCGATGGTGGTGGCTCTGACGCCGGGATTCGGGGGGTATGCTGCGTCTAAAGCGGCGGTTGAAACTATGGTGAAGATTCTGGCAAAGGAGCTGAAGGGGACGAGGATCACGGCGAACTGTGTAGCTCCAGGTCCTATCGCGACAGAGATGTTCTATGAAGGGAAAACTGAGGCGATGGTGAAAAGGGCGGTGGAGCAAAGTCCGTTGGATAGACTCGGGCAGCCGGAGGACGTGGCTCCGTTGGTAGGGTTTTTGGCCAGCGACGCCGGCGAGTGGATTAACGGCCAGATTGTTCGCGTCAACGGTGGATATGTGTGAACCATATTTGCTCCCATAATTCTACTTGTATCGCAGCCGATGATATTTGATTTCAGTAAAAACTTGATTCCGAATTTAATTTTAGGCTTTCTCAACTTTTAACTCCTATTTTTTAAACATCGTTCATCATAAAATAATGATATATTTATATTAAAAAAATAAGGTTATATGATGTTTAGGATTGCTTATGAAAAACAACTTATTAACTTATTTCGGTGTGACATCGATAATAACCATTTCTGAATGTTTGGATAAATAGCTTATACCAGTACTAAATCGATAATAAAAAGTTTTTAAGAAAACTAAATCATTATAATTTATAATAAATTAATAAAGACTTTTATAGAAAAACATAAGTTGTTTCAAATAAACAATCCCAAACCCCCTCTATATACCACTTGCATTTTTGGACTGGTTTTGTCCCAATATTAATATTTCATAATAAAAAAAATTATTTTTTAGGTATGTTTTATTATTACTATTTTTATCAAGGGAATCATAATTTTACTTTTAATTATATCAAGATTAATGATTTTTTTTATCTTATAATTAATAATACAACTATAAGATATGCATTTAAGGTAAATTTGGTTTGATGGAATGCTTTTGAAGAATTTGACATCTTTGTTGGTTTGATTTATAAGATCAAAAATGAAATTTTAATAAAAGAGACAAACTACATTGTATTTGATTTATAAGATTTATAATAAAATTTGAGTAAAAGAGAGAAACTGCTACATTGGGATGACAAAAAGTGACACAACCCATTAATCCAATTTAAACACAACCCAAAATTAGTAGGTTAGATTAAGATTTTTAACTCATTTAAGTAAGTGAGTCTATTGTTCAACTCATTTAACTAAATGAGTTGGATTTTGGTTGAAATCTTTGACCAATTTTCAACTCATTTGGATTATACATTGAAAAACCTCCGGGTGGAGAGGTTTTTGTCATATTTCGTAATTGTACGACTTGGTTTTTTAGAGTTTTTTTTTCTCTATTTAATCAATTTTAAATTTACAGAATTTTATAAAAGTTTGGTATTTAATCAAATTTATTTATTAATATTATTAAAGTAGTCATATTTAAATAAAATTAGTAAATAAATAAGGTAAATTAAATACATAATTAAAGTAATTATATATATTTTTATATATTTAAATTAATGTCTCAAATTTGGTAATTATATATATTTTTATATATTTAAATTAATGTCTCAAATCAGTATTAGAATGGTACTCACGCAATGCAGCGAGATACATTTTTTTTAATATTTCGTTTTATTTTTGTCTGTTGATATAATATGATTTATGTGGCTTTGAGAAAGATACTTTTGAATAAAAATAAATTTGAAAAAATATATTGATAATAATATCAAATTAACTATTTAAAAGTTATTGTTTTTATATAATTTATTTAGGGGGTATTTGAGATTGCTTATAAAAGCAACTTATTGACTTATTCCGGTGTAACACCGGTAATAAGCACTTTTGAGTGTTTGGATAAACAACTTATACCGGTGTCAAACTAGTAATAAGAAGTTTTAAAGAAGTTAAACCCTTCCGACTTAAAATAATTCTATGTACAACCTAAAGAATAAATAAAACCTTATTGTGACTGAATCTAACCTTTTTAACTCCAAATCGGTACCCCTTTCGACTTTCTTTGTTTGGTACAATCCAAGGACATAATAGTAATTTCAAAGAGAAGGTTAAGGCTGAAGATATTCGAAGTCGGGTAGAGGGAATATATGTGGTAACAGAATTTTCCTTCAAAAATGATTTAAAGGAAACTTCCACAACTCAATCACTCGCAAATTCCAACAAATCTTCTCCAAATTCGCCAAAATCTGATACTTTTGTGTATAAATTAGTTGAAGGGTGATCAAAATCGATCAAACAAACAGAACAAAACGTTTGTTAATGGCAGAATTCACCGCCCTCCGTCGCCTGAAACCGATCTTCATTGTTGACGAAATGTTGGTAGGGTTTGAGCCAAGAGATGTCACCGGTGCCGCGATGTACGGCGGCAGAAGCTGCGGGGGATTGAGAATAGCAGAGAAACGGAGGATCACGAGGTTAAGCAATTATAACTACAATCGTACCGTTAGAAGTACTAGAGTTTTCGCATCGGCGTCTGGGAGCAAGTCGAAGGATATGAAAGGCACAGAAAGGCACGCGATTGTTGATCAGGAAGCTATTTATGATGAACTATTGGGTGATCCTGATTATGATAGTGATGATCTCTCTTGGTTTAGAGGTTTAGTGTTGGACATCTCGTACAGGTTTGTGCTTTTCACCTTGCTTTTAACGCGGATATTTTGTGAAGCTTGTGTTGAAATAACATACACCATGGTGTATAAAATATCGTAGTTTAAATTTGGTGAGGTGTTACTGGAAAGCTGTTATTAGTTAACTGTTCACATATTAATAATCATTATATATCATCTGGTGCATTGTTGTTGTTTAAGTTCTTACGTGGATCGCTGTGACTGTTTAACATGTATCGTGGGTTCTTCTTTCTTTGAAACTGTTCTAAGTTAGCTATATATTTGTTAGAATTACCACCTATGACTGAAGGTTAAGGTGTTAATTTGAGGGAAATGATTAGCTTCTTCAATCCGTATAGTGATCGCAGTCACTGGATCTGACTGTGATTATTGATCTAGGCCTATAAATGTTGTCTGCTGGAAACGTGCCATTTGTTTGGAGTTCATGGAAAAGGTTAGACATGTTTACTTGTAATTACTTAAGATTGAGAAATTTATTGATCTCAATTATTTATGCAGTTCACTATGTGCTGGTATATCTACTCCAGTTGGGCCTTTCATCTGCAGTTCATGGATTATAGTAGTGTCTGAAGTCTGTGAATGTATGTTATACAGGCTGATGTTCTGGAGTATTATGATCAAACTGTGAACTCTCCCAATGGATCCTTCTTTATACCTGCTGTTTTAAGGGTAATATGTTATGTACCCTTATCAGTTTATCAATTTTTGGGTCAACACCTTCATCCATCTGGCTTGAGGAATGTTTGAATGCGTCATTTTATCTGTTTTCCCAGGTTCCACATTTGCTTCAAGTTGTCAAGAGAAGAAAAATTATGAGTACGCTTAGTCGAAAAAACATTTTGGCTCGTGACAATTTTTCTTGCCAGTAAGTACTCTGCTAAACGTAGATGTTGAAATCGTTAGTAAATTGCTTCTAAGAATGCTTAATGTTGTAAAGACAAGTAAAAATATGAGATTACATAATTGAGTTGACATAGTTCACTGATAACTTTTACAAATACGTTCATATATTCTAATTGCTGATCTGACAGTACGAACAACAGTAAAAGGGTAAACATGAATTGTTGTTATTTAGGCATACAACTATACAAGTGCAAGAGACCTCCTTTGGGGGCCTGCTTAATTCTGCATTATTACATATGTATCAAACGTTTAAACATGGTTTAACTATGAACCTTCTAATTTACCAACCTCCCTTGTTACAAAGTAACATTTCTCCACTTCACAAGTGTCTTGCACAGAGCACTAGTCTGTAAATTTTGTTATGTTTCTATCATTTCTGTGGTTTGTTTAACCAAGTTAACTTTGAAGTCATAAATTAGGCAGATACAAATAAAAACACCTATTGTTTTAAAGGAGTAATAATTGCAATTTGTACTCTAACATGTTATTTGTAATATCTACAGGTACTGTTCTTCTACTGTGAACTTAACTATTGACCATGTCATACCTATATCGCGAGGTGGGGAATGGAAATGGGAAAATCTGGTAAGACATAAGATTTGTCTACCGAACCTTCTTAGGTTATCTCGATAAGTACTTCTGCACCCTATCTATACATAATTAACTATAGTAAATCTGACATGATTGCTGGATACATTGTGCATGGATGCAATGCTTTTATTGATTACCAATGCAAACAGAAATGCATCTCCATTGCTGCTCAAGTTAAAGTCACAAAAGAGTTGTTGATGCATCAACTTGAACCTACCAAAAGTAAATTATTGAATTGGTATGCTGGGCATAAAAGCTGTTGCACCTATATAATTTTTTTTTATCTCTTACAGAATGAGTGTTTGCAGAAAAATAAACAAGCAAACCATACCTAGGGTGGTTTCTGTGAAGTTGTGAATATTATCCTATGAGTTTGAACTTCGAATAGACATGGGATTCCTATTCCCAATCCTTTACTTGGATGAGGCTTTGGTTCAAATTTTATATGGGATGCATGTACCAAGAGGTCCCATGTGCTCTTTCCCAACCTGTTGGGTGACTGGACATGCCATCCACTAAGCTGCTAAGGTCCTCTTGGGAAGCTTGAAAGGTAAGTGGTAGGATGTATACAACTAGATGAAGTCCAGATTGACCTCTGGGTGGGTGAATATCTCCGTATTACTTGTGGTTCTGCGATAGTTTTCTTCTTGATGTATAGGTCTTTGAAGACTGGTATGCAGATTTCACTTTTCTAGTTTTCTGACATGAAGAGGAAGCTCATATTTATTAGGTTGGAGTATTAATATTACATGCAACTCCTGAAACAATCAAGTACAATCATGTCATCATGTGTAAAAGTTTTATACGACTAACAAATTGTCTATAATTCCTATGTTAACTTCCTTTATCTGAAAGACTTTTTCTGAGAAGTGCTAATGCAATTGTTCTCCATGACAGGTTACTGCTTGCTTAAGTTGCAACTCGAAGAAAGGTCATAAAACTCCTGAGGAAGCAAACATGAAGCTGCATAAGGCCCCAAAGGTATTCTCTAATTTCCATATTAAGGATTTGTCTTGAAATACTTTCTAAAGCCGATCATAAGTAAAGGTCTCCATAGGGTTTCACCATGATTTTGGTATCATGCAACTTCTTCTAGCTTTTGAATAGCTTTAGTGAGATTTTAGAGATGAAAATTATCCAATGGTCTATTAGCTCATTTAAACAAACCATTAAATTGCTGATCACCATCCAGAACCATTCTTTAGCAAATTGTAATGCATTGCATGAACTGTATATGCATATAGCTTTCCACAGGTTATGGCAGATCATCCTTGGCCCAAATAAACGACTCAAAACCGATCTAATATGGCTTGCAACAGACCATCCATGGACCAAACCCTCACAGATAATCGCCATCCAATCCTGCTTAATGTGCTTGGACTTAACTCATAACAACTTAAAGCTGCTAGAGCCTCAAGACTCCTAATAGTTGGTAAGCATAACACCAATAGGGTTAGAGTCCCACAGCGGCTAGACTTGGACCATTTATTCTCAAACTATGTTAAAAGTTGAAACCTCCCTTCTTTCCTCGAGGCTCTTTTGGAGACTAATATGGAGGTTACACATATTCTCACATAATATAGGAGGCAAGATCTACCACAGTACCACACTAGGGGCTTGGCACTCTGGGGCAATCTGTACTCATCTACCTCCCTCTTGAAACTCTGGGACAATTTGTGCCCGCATAGCCACCGTTGGACGGAGGGGGCACATGGCTAGACTTGGACCATTTTGTTGAAACCTCACTTCTCTCCTCAAGGGAGGTTTCACATATTCTCACAAATCCTATGCTAAAGAAAAGCATAAGATCATCCAATCATTTATCCTTGACATAATACCAAAGAAAACTAACAAACATTGGTCTAGCATCCTAATTCTCCCTTCAAGAATTGATGTTAAAGTGGGGGTATATTAGTATGATTCATTGGCCTTCTTTGCTACATCTCTTTATCCGACACCAACTAGTAATGAAAGATATAAATTTGGAGCAGGCCCCTAAAGACTATGATGTAATTGCCATACCCTTAACAAACACCGCGATAAAGATGCTGAGAATGAGAAAAGGAACTCCGGAAGAGTGGATTCAGTATTTGGGAGGGCCATCTCCGTGACATCATTTTGGTCGCAATCTGTACATGTTCATGATTCAAACATAGTGTAAGCTTCTTTATGTACTCCAATGACCGACCCCCCCTTCTCCCACCAGCCGGTGATCTTTAATAGATAACTCTATTGTATATATATGTAATGTAGCATTCTATGTATATTCATCCAGGACTCGGATTCTACATTTCTATGGACATATGTATAAACTCGAAGCCACTCGTAAATAAATGCATGCAAATAGGCTTCTTTATTATGGTTGCCTTAAAGTTCCGATCGGATTTTGAGCATTTTTAGAGTAAAACATAAACCTTCATGAGTAATTGGTAGATTAGGGTTGTGAATCTATGGTGATATCCTTTGGTGATCATATATAGTTTATGATGTAATGTAAACAAGCTTTTTGGATAAATATTCAATGCAATTTTAGGGAGCAGAACATAATTTGGTTTAGTGAAAGTTTGATAAACCAAATTGTGCTTCTACCATACAAGTTTCTAAAGCATAACAGCCAAACTTCTTTTATAGAACACATTTTACAAATTAATAATATCACATTACATATTTTCACTTAACGAACATGGTAACCGGTTAATACTTCAACCGGTTATCCGGGTACTTAAATGTTTAAAACTTTATATCTTAGGTACCAAAATGGAAGTTTTAAAAGTACGTTACCCAAAGTAGGAATCAAGTTAAAGTACGTTACTTTTTCGTGCAATTTGTCTTCTTAAAACCCCAGCTTACAAAACAAACATTTCACTTCCATCATGCAAATATCTTCCAACAACTTTAACTTTCCGAAAAATTGTTTTACAATACAAATTACTGAAATTAGAGGTATTACGCATTAGAAACTTGTATGGCTAATGGTAAACGTCAATGCTATTTGGATATGATCCCGATGGTATGTCGAAAAAACAAAATTCCACGGTGTATGACACGTTCCAAAATTGGTTCGTTTGACTTGTATGATTGATAAATCAAATGTTTAAGTCGGTCAAGTTAGATTCAATAAGTAGATCTGAAGTAAATTACACCAGTTTGATATGACTTGTAATGTTTAATCTACGACGTACAAGTTATTATTACAGCATTATACTTTTCAATGGTGGAGATATATGAAGAACAATTTTGATGTGAATTCAATGTTGATTTGGTTTCTTTGTTTTCTCCATGAACACCAATTATTGCTGGAAGTAACAGGTGAAGGGTATGTCCCATTGCCATAACTTTTTAATGTAGGTACAACTTTATTTGCATGCTTTCAATTTATGATAATTCTTTTAAAATACAAAATTAAAAGTTAAAATTAAAAAAAAATTACATTCAACTTCAACAGATTCTTTAAAATAGAAAATTTTAACATCAATTATATTATTAAAATATTTTATAAATTAACCACAAGGGTGGTGCCTGATTGGTTTAAGCTTGGCTCTAAAGGTCAAAAGTATCAGGAGGTCACAGGTTCAAATCCAATGAGGAATAAAAATCCCCTTGTGGCCACAGAGATTCAAATGCGGTGACTCCGGGCTATCTGCAAAGCAGGTGATCGGCCTGAAATTAGTCGGCTTGCATAGCGGGTTGGATATCCAGGTTAATAAAGAAAATTCTATAAATTTATAATCCCAATACATTTAAAAAAACTAATAAATCAATCTCATTGGTGGAAAATATTAAAATATTTATAACTCTTTATTAGAGGGTTTTAGAGAATTTCTATATTTGGAGTTCTCTTTAGGTTTCTCTATTTTAAGAAATAAGATAGAGAATTTATTGAAATAATATAGATAATTAAAACGTTATTAAAACAATCTCTTGAAGATGTTATAAATATTTTTTTTGAAGTATATAATATTTATATACAGCAAATAGAATAAATAAACTCACACACCCTCCTTACATTTGGTGAGGTTTGAATCTCTGACTTTTTAGGACATCAAACACTCACATACCGTTAGACCTAGGGGTGCACAAAAACCCGACCAACCCGATCAACCCAACGCGAAATAACTCAACCCGAAACAACCCGATGTCTAATCGAGTTGTAAAATTTTCAAACCGTAGGTATTGGGTTGATATTATTTTGAACCCAACCCGATATTCATTTATTTCTTGGATTTAATATAATTGTTGAACTTTTATTAATATATACACTAGACAATTACACTATCACGTACGCTATTCATATACACATCTTTTCAATCTATTTACATCTCTATATAACTCATTCATATATATGTTCAGTAACTGTAAACATATATACGTAAATTGAGAAAATTAACTGAATGCGATATACGTTAGAAGTATGGATAAATTGTATCAAATGGTTGATGATGAAAAAGAAATTATGAGTAGCGAAATAACATATTCAAGGTTAGAAGAATATTTTAATGTACCAAAGTATCAACCCGACCAACCCGTACAGTTTGGTTGGGTTGGGTTGCACTTTTGTTTGGATTGGGTTGTGTTAAGATTTTTCAAACCACAAGCATTAGGTTGGATTCTTCAAATGCCTTCAACCCAACACATGAATACCCGTAGTTAAACCCTCTTGGAGCTGTTATATACACACATTTATCATTTATGGTAAGGATGTGGTATTCTCTCACCTCCACCAAAATTATATGCCTTATAGTTGTTTACTCTAGTAAAACTACAATAAGAAGCAAGTCATTGGACTACTACAACATGTCTATAAATGGAAGTCCATATAAAGGTAAACCATTTTTACATCCAATTTTTTTTTAACTTTCAACGCTTAGTCGTTTTCGGTACGGTCCAAATCTTGATTTTGAAGTTTTTTTTGAAAGTTTTGACCTTATTGGTTATGATAACAGTCGTGACTATAAAAAGGTTCGTGTCTCTATTATAAAAAAATAACTTATTAAGCATCATGTATCATTTATTAATGCAAACATCTTAAAAGACGATTTTACAGTACAACTTATTAAAATTATATGTTTTAACTAAATAAAATTAATTGACAACCAATTGATAAACTTCAACTTTATTAAGTTTGAAATGTGAATTGTCTTAAATATAATTAAGTTTGAAATAAAATAAATTAAATAAGAACAAGTATTCTATTCTTTTTTGTTTTGATACCCATATATATATATATATAGAGAGAGAGAGAGAGAGAGGGGTATTATATAATCATCTTATTTGTATAATTGTTACAACCTAGTTTTAATCGTCCATCTAGTCTAATGAATATCTAGTTCCGTAAATATATCGATTGTTTTCTAATATAAAACGTTGATCATAATTAATGAATTTTAATCATCTTTCATAAATATCTCAATTTATTGCGTTGCATTGATTGTACAAATGAGATAAGTTGCATTACGAACGTCTTCTCTCTCTCTCTCTCTCTCTCTCTCTATATATATATATATATATATATATATGTACGTATGTATGTGTAGGGATGAGTTCAAATAAAAACCACTCAATTTGTAAAAACCGTGAAAACCTCATTCAACCAATCATAATTTTTCATTTTGTTTATTTTTTTGTAATTATAAGAGATTGATTAACCATTTTTATTGTGCAAGGTGTTAATCATGGATATTATCATCTTCATTATTTTAATTTTAGAGAAATACATCAAACAGTTTCATTAA